CTGGCTCTGCACCCATTTACCTAAATTCATTACTTCACAGTTATGCGCCCTCTAGAACCTTGTGTTTTGCAAGTGAACGGCGTATTATTGTGCCATCTCAAAGAGGCACAAAATCACTTTCACTGACTTTTTCATTAACTGTTCCCTCCTGGTGGAATGACCTGCCCAACTCAATCCGAGCAGCTGAGTCCTTAACCATCTTCAAGAAACGACTAAAAACACATCTGTTCCACCTTTAGTGACGTGATATGTGGCCAAGTATGGTGACCCATACTCAGAAATAGTGCTCTGCATTTATCCCATCCAAAGTGCACACACACAACAGTGAACACACACACACACACCGTGAACACACACCCAGAGCAGTGGGCAGCCATTTATGCTGCGGCGCCTGGGACACACCGTGAACAGACACCCGGAGCAGTGGGCAGCCATTTTTTGCTGCAGCGCCCGGGGAGCAGTTGGGGTTCGGTGCCTTGCTCAAGGGCACCTCAGTCGTGGTATTGAAGGTGGAAGAGAGCGCTGTACATTCACTCCCCCCACCTACAATCCCTGCCGGTACAAGACTCGAACCCGCAACCTTGGGTTACGAGTCCGACTCTCTAACCATTAGGCCACGACTTTCCCCTTTATTTATTTATTTTTATAAAAAAAACAAAAAAACAAAAACAAACAAACACTAGCTGTCTATTTTTTCTATTCTATCTACTTGTTTTTCTTTGTGTGTGTGTGTGTGTGTGTGTATATGTATGGGTGTATAATATATATATATATTATATATATATACCTTGCTACGTGTACTGCGTTAGGCTAACCGAGACTTGTCATTTGCACTTATATATTGTTGCTCTTTTGTTAGTTTTGACTACTTTTATTGTCCTCATTTGTAAGTCGCTTTGGATAAAAGTGTCTCCTAAATGACTAAATGTAAATCTAATTCTAAACTCTAAGAACTCTAAATTCTGCTAATTCACAAGCCGAGTGAGAGTCATACTAGCAAAGGTAATGTTAATTAAACCAAACAAAATCAAAACTTTTAAAAATGGCCAGCAATGTGATTCTTCTATTGAGTGATAGGCAATGGGTTTAATCAGTGACATTACAATATCCAGCGTCTTCTCGTCATCTCCACGATCTGCTTCCCTTGGTGTTTACACGTAGAAAATGCAAAAAAAACAAAAAAACATATTACATATTACTCAAAAGCGCAAAGGCAGCGCGATCCTCCCAGTATGGCGGATAAACAAAGCAGTTTCCCAGAACTCAACGCGTCATGACGTCAGCTTCACATTCTCTATATGCATGGGCAAAGTGAGAAGGTCCTGGCTGTGTGCTTGCATGCTTGGTGTCTCAGGTTGCCTGCTTGGTGTCTTAGGTTGTGTGTTTGGTGTCTCAGGTTGTGTGCTTGGTGTCTCGGGTTGTGTGTTTGGTGTCTCAGGTTGCGTGCTTGGTGTCTCAGGTTGCCTGCTTGGTGTCCCAGGTTGTGTGTTTGGTGATTCAGGTTGTGTGCTTGGCAATGTTGACTATAAGCTAACCCTACAACTTCTTGCACCGCATAAGAAATGATGTGCCGCGCACATGCATAAATGAGTTGGGAAAGCCATTTGCGAAAGCAAATGAATTGCAATGCTCGGGTAAACCGCTATAGAGTTGATATCACTATAGAGTTAGAACCGGTGAATGCGGTTTACATGTTTTGATAGAAAGAGAATTCAATTAAATTCAATTCAAGTTTATGTGTATAGCGCTTTTCACGATACAACCTAAGGCACACCTGTGCAATAATCATGCTGTCTAATCAGCATCTTGATATGCCACACCTGTGAGGTGGATGGATTATCTCGGCAAAGGAGAAGTGCTCACTAACACAGATTTAGACAGATTTGTGAACAATATTTGAGAGAAATAGGCTTTTTGTGTACATAGAAAAAGTCTTAGATCTTTGAGTTCAGGTCATGAAAAATGGGGGCAAAAACAAAAGTGTTGCGTTTATAATTTTGTTCAGTGTATATACATATGGACAGGATATGCTGTGACATTTTTTTCACATTGTTGAGTTATTATTAATAATATGACTATTATTATTATTATTATTGTTGTTATTGTTTAGGTCTTCTGTGTGCGTTATGGCAGACCAGACCAAAACTACTCTAGGTGAGCCTAGAACACTGTGAAATCAAGTTCAGTTTCAGTTCAAGATTCAGATTCAAGTTGAAAAGTGAAGTCTATAAAAATACAGTGTGCTCACAACTCCCATCTAGTTACACGGTATAATTATATAATTACAGTCAGCCTTCCTATATATCTATATATACTTACTATATATATATATACTATATATATTTGGCTTCATTACCAACAAAGCTGACCTCAGCACTGTACTGGAATGCCACAAGAGAAAAACACTTACATCATTTGTTGCTTGGTAAGAATAAGATACTGCATGTTTTAGTTGCTTTTACAGAACTGAACATTATTACTAAATTTTCTTATCTTAAAGTTGTAGCAAATTAGCTCAAAAGGGAAATGTATATAAATAATTACAATTCATTATGATTAATTACAATTATTTATATCAGCTGCCAGTCGTAACTGTAGCAGAATTAAATTGCCCTCAACTAATCTGTTCATTCAGCGAACATTCAGTGTAAGTTCATATCAACTCTAAGAAAGGATATTTTCGTGGCCACAGAAAATACTTTCATACAGTATTAATGCATTAGAGCATGTAGCAAGGATCAAAATCGTAAAGGGACATTAATTTGCAAGGCAGAATCAGAAACTCATGTAATTTGTGCACAAGAATTTTATTAACTAAACACTAACACAAACTAGTCTAACAAACAAACAAACAATCACTCATACATGGGAAAGGGCAAATGAGGCTTGATGGATGAAACCATCAGGAAAAACCAGAGAATGAAGCTATGAAAAGAGTTAGTTAACCACCTAAGTAAAACCATCAGCGCCATTTTAGAACGGGGTCTACAGCTTATACTAAACCTCTGTTTCGTTTAGTTAAATGTACGATACTTGCATTGCCTTGGCTTGGAACGAGCGTCAGGATGCAGTCTCGGATGAAAGTCTTGATGGTTTGGAGGTTCGGTGGTGTAGGAGTTGCGATCACCTTCTTCCGGGTTTGAAGAGTGATGAACTCCAAAAAGATGTTATTCTGACTTCAATAATATGTAAATAGTATCTCCTGAATGTTACTTCGTCAATCGTCACCTATAAGCGTGGGAGCGGTAGTAGGCCATCAAGAACCATCTGCTGACCAAAAGGGTACTTGAATATAATTGCTAGGGATTCTAGATAATCCTATCACCTTAACATTTGGTTGTTTCCACCTGAAAGACTACCAAAGATGTGGGAACGGAAGGCTATCACTTTCATTGTTATCCGCAATTTACATTTAAGTCGAAACTTCATTTACATGTCTAGCAGGAAGATGAACGTAATAGAATATAAAATGTTTGAGCGTAGGATGCTCGGGGTTCATTCTGACTGCTGAATCCAAAACAATCCTGTTTTTTTAACAAGCAAAAAACCCTGTGATAATTTTGCTCAAATGAAACGGAGCTGTAACCAGTGTGCGTGAGGTGTAGACCCAGTGACGGGTAAGAATCTCTGATGGCCATAAATGGGGATCGACCTAAGCCAGGGCTTCACCGCCACTGGGCACCTGCCCAGGAAGGGAGGTGTGATCTGTGTAAGGGAGTGGATGTGATGCTTCTTCCGGGCCAAGAGCATCAAAGAGGGGACTGTAAGAAATTATAGTCTGCCTCGACCAAACTTCCACTCCAAGTAAACTATTCTCCTTTCTCTACAAAGAGCTTAATTATCATAGAGATAATTCTTTATGTAAATAGTATCTCCGGAACGTTACTTCGTCACCTATAGCGTGGGAGCGGCAGTAGGCCATCAAGAACCATCTGCTGACCAAAAGGGTACTTGAATATAATTGCTAGGGATTCTAGATAATCCTATCACCTTAACATTTGGGTGTTTCCACCTGAAAGACTACCAAAGATGTGGGAACGGAAGGCTATCACTTTCATTGTTATCCTCAATTTACATTTAAGACGAAACTTCATTTATATGTCTAGCGGGAAGATGAACGTAATAGAGTATAAAATGTTTGAGCGTAGGATGCTCGGGGTTCATTCTGACTCCGCTGAATCCGAAGTGCTGCCTGTACTTTGTCACTGCTATTCTGTAATAAAAGTTATACTTCATCAAGATCTTCGACATCTTCACTTTTTCTTACAATACTAAACATGGTAAGATTACATATAGGTATGATTACATGAACGAGTGGTTCTATCATAAGCATGCATAAAACAGTATACAATACAAAAGACAATATACAAGAACAGTAACAACATACACAATGACCTGAAGTATATGTGTGTTCATTCAAAGAAAGGTTTTCCTATGAATTAATTAGAGAAGAGTCCATTTTTATGGGCATTACGTGTCTGTTTCAGAGAGAACTGATTAGGAGGAAGATTCTCTCTACATACTTTTAGGTCGTAAAAGTTTATCTGATCTGGCTGAAGGGTCCTGGTTGCCATGGTAACCAAGGGCCTGGGGTCATTCCCAGACATGCTGGCACCCAGTATGTTTATTGGTCTGTGATTATTTGTTAATCTAATGAATAATTGATTTGTTAAATCTAATGAAAAATGCTGTGTCTGATTGGTCCAAATGCTAGAAAGTGTTTGCTTTTAACTGTAGGTTTGATGATAAAAGAAAGAAAAAAAGAACAAGGTCCACATCGTCTGGTTTGGCAGGTGGAAGATTTATTTGAGAATGTACCTCTGACAGAATGTCTGTTATGAACAAGTAATTCATTGTTGTCAGCATGGCAATTCGCGAAAGAATTGCAAGACTCCGGAGGTAAGATTCAGGATAACTAATGCACAATTTACAAAAGCATACTTTTCTCTTAACTTTTTTCCATATATTTCAGCTCTCTTCAGAGGATGAGCATGTTAACTCTGGCAAAAGGAAAATAATGTACATACAAACGACCAAAAAAGTTGGCTGCGCAGCCAAACTTTTTATTAGGTACATTAGAAGGTGAGCTACATTGATTCTGTACAATAATGGAAAGCTTAAATATTTGAATGACCAAATTGCATTACTATAGAAATAATTTAAAACACATGGTTAACACAATAAAAATAAAAAATAAAAATTAATGCCAAGGTCCCCAAATATAATGATCCCCAAACAAGGTACCCCTTCCTAAAAAAAAAAAAATATATATATATATATGTATATATATATATATATATAAAATAAAAATATATAGCCATCTTTATAAGAGCAGATAATATTGTAAGGTGAATCTGTTAAAATATGTTGAATAATTGTCATTTATATCGACTAAAGACTTATATCATACTAAAGAAAAAATATTTGTGTTAAGTTAATAGCATCTTTTTTTACTCACTGATAGATTTAACCTATTAACCTAAAGAAAAAAATATTTTGATTCAATTCAGATTTATTTATATAGCACTTTTCATAATAAATATAATTTCAAAGTGGTTTTACAGTTAATACTTCCTTATGAAATACAACATACCATAAGTGTCACCACCATGAACTTTTAGTTTGTTTTCTTCCCTCATGTTTTCCCCTGACCTAGTTTTCCCTCGTGTGTTGATTAGTTATTTCTGTTCACCTGTGTTCTGTTAATCTACTCATTAGTTCCCTCATTTATTTCTTGTATAAGTTCTCCCTGTTCTGTTCAGTCCTTGTCTGGTATTAATGTTTAATGTTGATATTGTTGATGTTGTTTTGCTGCGTGTTTCCTTTGCCTTCATGGATTATCATCTTTTTGGATTCTATTAAACTCTTGTGTAGATGCCTTTCGGCTTCGTGTACCTTTCCTCTACACAAAGCGTTACAGAATACCGGACTACAAAAGTGTAAGTGGCGTGATTCCCCGTGTTTATTTTTTCAGTTTTTGAAAGTTAGTTTTTTTCTTTTGCGTATGGACCGTTTCGAATTCCTCCTCCTCCTGCTGGAGTAGGGGGAGCTTCCTCTTGAGGTCCACACGGCGGGCTTTGTAGAGATCGCCAACAGTTCCAGCTACCCGGACGACGCGCTCTGCTCGTTCTACATAGTGAGCCTGAACACCACATGCAGAGCAATGAAATTTCTAATCAAGAAACTTTCTCTGCATCTGGTCCAGACACCAAACCCAGTTGGGAGGCTCCACCTGTGAAGCAGCCCCCGATCTCTAGAGGTGTTAATAATCGGGCTCCCATCTCCCATCATTTCACAAAGCCAACATTTCCCTGGGCAGGCCCAAACCATCCTGCAGGACTAACTCCCACCCTTCCTGTCCCACCCCTTGTGCTCCCTGGCTGTTACAGGACTCCAG